ATAATGTACAGATGCACTATGTTAACTTCTCATAATCACAATACCAACTGTCTGTCAACTCACATTTACTAAAAAATAACCACACCACAAACAAAGCCACCACTTTTGTACTCTTTTACCTTTTGTTTCTCCTTCAATCTGTCACCAGCAAAGCTTATTCAGTTTTATCAAGTTTCATTACATTAGAATTACTCTGTTTAATATCAAGAAAAAAAGCCTTGACAGATCTATATATATATATATTTTGTTGTATGCATGCTTGTAGAAATTTTGCTTTGGATGAAGAACATGAAACTTAAACCAATTACTGATCAGTGTCTGAGCAAGAAACAATCACTGTACATTCCATTGGATAATAATCACTCATAAACAAGGAAAAATGCAATTTATGTCAAACAGCAAGTTGCTGTTGTTGTTGTTGGTGAGGCGATGATGATTCATCTTCATTAAAGCACAAATGGATTAAGTTTTTTGATGATGACGACGATGACGACGATGATGACGACAACGATGATGATGGGAAATATAAGAAACAGGCTGGGTCCTCTGAAATGTTGAGCTGAGGCTGAGGCTGCATCATCATCATCATCATCATCTCTTTTTGGAGATGAGAACAATAAGAGTGAAAAGTTGATGGGGTCACATTTAAATGAAATCCCAAACCAAATAAGAAATCCACTTCAAGAATGTTCATCTCTCTTGTGCTCATCCCTCCTACTTTAGCATAATATGCATTGTTGTAATACCTGGCAGCAGCAGATTCATATCATAGCATAATAAATCAATCTTTAGTTATTATAATAATAAAAATATATGAAAAGCGAAGGCAATATATTTTACGTCTTATTGTGTGTGAGACGTAAATAAGAAAAACTGAACCTTTTATTCAGAGATAATAGTAACATTATTAAAAATACAACTCTTATATTGTAAGGCTAAGGAAGTGTGATTTTACAAAAATATCGTTTTCTAATTCGTTAGTAGTACATTAAAAGTTGTAAGTTTCAAGCTTTGGACTGTAGCTTTCAGTTATGAATGCTGGTATGAGATGAGACCCTTATCATTAAAAAAAAAAAAAGTGTTTTAAATAGTATGGAAACAAATATTGAAGGAAATAGTTGTTTTGTAAAAGAATTAAGCAACAAAATTTCACTTCAAAATCCGAATTCGAGATTCAGAACATGAAATCAGTAATCTCACCACAAGGCACCAAGCAGCATATATTATATACACTCCAATCAACCACACAAGATAATACAAATGAACAAATAATAGTTTAAAATGAAAAAAAAACACTCACATTTCATCCATGAATTTAGCAGAGATCATGACACTAGTTATAAGCAGCCTGTGCACATTCAAAGAGTCGATTTTGAGAGCCGGCTGGCTGTGTGTGAATCGGTCGAGATAAACATATGCCACAATGTAGCACGACGTGCTGCAGTTCGCGTACTTGAAGATCCTCTGCAGATAGCTGTGGATGGAGATTGTGGGCCTCGTGAGGCCGTGGAAAACCGATGAGATCTTCTGAGTGTGGGCCTCACATCTGAGATCGTTCGACTCGGCCACACGCTGGAGGAGTAAGGACAGAAAACCGATGAGTTTTGGCGAGCTGCTTTCTTCGGCCTCTGCAGCCATAGTATGTTGTGACAGATGAAAATATACTCTTGGATTGTGATGTTGGAATTAATATCTTCCTCTATCTTATAAGAAAACAATGGTGCTCCTTTTCCATCCGCCACGTGGTACCCTTGGTTGGCTCTCATTTCACTCAAAACGGCACCGTTTGGTGCCATTGTCATTTTTTTTTTATGTTTTGTTCGTGTTTTCAGACTTTTTTTTTGCAGTGCAACCTGATTATTTGCCTAATATCTCCTTGTTGTTCTCCCTTTTTAAGGGCATAATAGTCAATCACGTATGTCAACTGTCAGCTTTTTTGCTTGCTATTGCACGTCATTTCTGCACACGCAACAATCACATTTAATGAATTGTACAGAGAAACGAAGTGAAGAGAGAAGGAGAATTTATTCAAACATAAGTTGAAACCCCAAATCAGAATCCCCAAACCCAAGGTCCTCAGCCCTCATCCACCACCGCCATGGCCGAGACCGAACCAACCGTCACTTCAGATCGACAACACCACCGCCGTCGTCGCTGAGAAGCTCTCCAACATCTCCTTCGGCATCTCCCCTCCCCCCCTCCACGAACGTACGCGCAACTCCACCAAGAACTGCCCTATCGAGTCTCTCCATCTTATCCGAGCGTTGCGTCACCATTCCCACAGAGGAGGCCGCTGACACCGCTAAGGTTATCGAGCCCAAGATATACGGCCATTTTTGGCCACCCATCAATCATTCGCTTGGAGGAGTTTCTCCCAAATATCGAAAAAGCCCGCGCCTATTAACCGCTCGCTCTCACTGTAGCAAAATTTCCCCAAACCGACGGCCATAGAAGGTGATGGCTCTCTGAGAGTTGTTCTATTTTCAGCTCCAATTTGACAAACCAGTAGTTTTTCAAGTCGATTGCGTTATTGGCCCTTGACGAGGAGTGAAGGACCGAGGGCACGAATCTACTCGACCGACGAATCTTCTTCTCCAGCCACTGGGCTGGGTTTGATGACGCCAACCTTCTGGTCGGACCACACTTACCCTCACTCCCCTTTTCTAT